GTGATTTCTTTAGATTTGTAAAATTATATTTTTCAGCTATGATCTTTTTCTCTATTTTGAGGAGGCATGTGTAGGCAAGTTGGTTGGTTATTTTTGAGTGCTATACTAAGGTTTAGGATCACAAATGCAACATGTCATGCATATATTCTGGAGTGTTGGTATAATGGACTCAATATATTTTACTGCCAACCTTCTAGATATAATGTGTTCTTTTGCATTGTTGTCTTAGTTTTGCAGTACTGGTTTGAGAGGTTATTTACTGTATTGTATGATAAATGCGTCTGAGCTGCTTTCAGTGTACAGATAAAATTTTAAAGGCTAAAAGGCCAATTTGGCCCCTGTACAAAGGTTGCATACTTTTTGGTAAATGTAAAATTTGTCCTATTTTAACTCTACTTATAATTTTCCTCAGCTTAGTTCTCGTACTTCTTGGTAAATATAAATTTAGTCTTATTTTAACTCTCTATTAAAATTTACTTTAAATAAAACATGAAAAGAAAATATTACCCTAAACTCTAAAAGTTACATAAACCAATTTCTGGATCCTAAAAAACCGGTTACATTAAAAAAAAAAAATCCCCTAGAAAACGATTACATTCGAACTGGGTTGATGTCACCCACTTTGTGGGTAAATTTTTGAGTCACGACAACCGCATCTCAGGTGAAAGTGACTAACTTGACACCCATGTTAAAGTAGAAACTGTTAGGTCTCATGTTTATGAGCCTACTATCTAATCTAGTTTTGATGATTAACAAATAATTCCTAACAATATTTGTCGAGTATTACAGTTGATTGTTAGGTATCCTACACAAAGGTACTACGTTGGAGGTTGGATGGATTGCACCTTAACAATGATATTCAAAGGAGGTTGGCGGAATCGGAATGAAGCTTTGCATTTCAAGTCAAGATCCCATATCGCTTCATCCGCAACCAAGACGAGCATATCGAAGATCTCTTAGCTTGGGTATATTCTTTCTAGTTTAGATATTATACTTTGTGTGTTTATATTTAAAGCTCAAATATTACACACATACACGTTTTCGGTTTATCGCTTTCAAGTTAAATTAAATAAATATGAAACAAATAGTTATATTTATAAACATACATGCTAGTTTCATATTTATTATCTTTATTTGGAAAATAATATGTTTATGGATTAAATACTTGTTTACACTATTTTATATCTTTCTTCGAGTCTATTAATCTATTAAGAAGTGTTTCAAAACTTGTTTGGAAGAATTTCATCAAAAATCAAGTTTTGACGATTTCGTGTTCTGAACAGTTTACAAAATAAATGAGTTTTTTCAAATGAGAAATGCAATTTGATAAAATATTTTTCTAACGTGTTATATTACATGTTTACAAACATTTCCCAAAATTCTATCATTTTTGGAGTTGATTTACTATGTCAAAATGATTTTACAAAATCAAATGTTTCAGCGGTTTTCAGAATCTGGAATATCTGTCTTAAAATAATTATTTCTCACAAATGGAAAGTGATATTTCATAAATTATTTCTCTAACACGTTTAAAAATTTTCCTCAAAATTTCATGATTTTTGGAGTTTATTTGCTATTTTAAATTGATTTTAGAAAGTCAGATACGCAAAAATTCTAGAAGCTGTCAACGGTCAACTTTATTAGTCGACTGATGATGTCATCAGTCGACTGATTAGGAGTTTTCAGCCTATAACGGCTAGTTTTTCCAGTTTTATTTTTTGTGTGTTTTGTGGGTTTCTTGACTAGTTTGAGAGGCTTATAAAAACCCTCTTCTCTCATTTGTTTCTTATGGATGTTTAAGTGAGTTTTTAAAGAGTTTGTTTTAAGAGCTTAAAGTGTGTTTTTGGTTTTTGCAAAAGAGTTTACAAGGAAGAGAATTGAAATTTCATATTTGAGGAGTTTTTCCTCAAATCTTCATTCCTCACCTGTTTAGAGAAGTTTTTCTAAACTCATTTATCTAGCTTGCTTTCATTTTGATTCTTATATATATGTGCTCTGTTTAGAGAAGTTTTTCTAAACTCATTTATCTAGCTTGCTTTCATTTTGATTCTTATATATATGTGCTAGATTAATTTGAGTTTAATTAAACTCATTTATCTAGCTTGCTTTCATTTTGATTCTTATATATATGTGCTAGATTAATTTGAGTTTAATTTTATTTTTACTCATTGTTACACACACACCCCTTGAGCTTGAGTATTTTCATATATAGTATAATTATTGGGTTGTGGGGTTATGATATTGAGAGTGAGCTTACAATTTGTTCCCATCCATTATAGAGAACATAACATTTATTTGAGCTTATCATTGTGAGATCACATTGTAATACACAAGGATACTGAGAGGAGTGGTTGGCGAGAGACGAGGTCAACTCCAAGAGGAGTGGTGTTGGTAGTAAAGCCTAGGGAGAGCTGGTAAATCCAAGCACTTGAGGAAGTTGACACAGGCTAGACCAACACTTAGAGGGTGTATTGTGTCATTGCAATTGTGTGAGTTGTGAAAGTTTTCGGTGAGATAGAAAACCGATTGTGTGAGTTGTAAATGTTTTCGGTGAACGTTAAAAACCAGTTGTGATAGTGGAGATTATCCTCTAGAGTGGGGAACGGAGACGTAGGTCGGGAGTGATCGAACTCCGTGATCACATTGTGTGTTTGAGTTTGCCTTGGCATACTATTTGTGCTCATTGTTTATTTCATTCTATATCGTCATTGTCTCATGTTTATATCGCCCTTAGTTTAATTGCATATCCTTGTTTATATATCTTGTTATATATTATAATTGCTAGGATATTGTTAATAAATTTTAATTTAGCATTAATATCGGATTAGATTAGCATATACCCTATTCACTCCACACCCCCCCTCCCCCGCCCCTGCCCCTGCCCCTGCCCCTGCCCTGGCCCCTGCCCCTCTAGGGTAATTTCAAAACAGAATTAAAGTGCTATTGGCTTCATTGACCAATTTTTGCTTTTAACTGATGCTGCTTCATTTTCATCTATTTTTACCGGAGACAGATTTAGGCAGGACTTTTGTACCTATCATAGAGGTTTATGAAGACTGAATTGAGTATTGCATAGTTGTCCTCGAATCTCTTTCTCACAAATGGTCAAGCTAATAAGGGGTTGTTTAGTTCGCTATAAAACCCTAGAAATAGGGTTTCCAAGCACTGACACCTTGAGAAGAGGAAAAAAAAGAGTTAACTCTGGGTTTCCTTTCGCCGGTTTTGTTCCAAAAAAGTAGAGAAAGGTTGTTGAGAAATACGGTGTCAGCTCACGAAATGGGAAAAGCCCATCTCCAAGCAAATAAGCATAAACAGGTGAAAAAGATGATTTATGGTATCAAAATAATTGACAGACTCCCTCTTTTTCTCACGAGTGGAAAAGGTGGATTTTAGGGTTACCACTTTTCTCTCTTCTCTCTTCATTTTGGCACCTCCATCTTCCATTCCTCTCTCAACTTCTCATAGTTAAAGCCCTAGATTTTTATTTTGGCCATAAAATTGAAGGAGCTTTCGATCTATTTGTGTTGATAATGAAGATTCTGACAAAGAGTATGAATTCTATTTCTTTCCTTGAAGATTTGTACATGTATTACATCTCTATTTACACACAAAAATCTATACATAAAAGGCTAGATTGACTCCCTACAAATCTGCCAATCTGATCCCCACAAATCCTCTACCCATGAAACACATGATGCTTTAATCATAGAGAAGATTGAGGTGTTGTAATTGTGGATGTGGGGTCCACCCACGTTGATGTCTTTTCCCAGCCGAGTTGTGTTTCCGCGTGGGCTTTGTTTCCGGGTGGGCTCACCCACGCGTGACTCGAGTTCGTTTTTAGGCTGCGATTCGTTTCCTCTCCTATAAATATATGAACCTAGGTTTTCGTGAAAGGGGGTGCAAGGCTTGGTTTTGTGTGGCTGCGGAACAGAAGCAAAACAGCAGGAGGATTATTTGGCTGCGGGTTTTTTTTCTTTTGGTTTTTTGCGGCTGCAGTTGAGGAGATTTTATGAGTTTCTTTTAGGGTTTAGTGCATCCCTTTGAGAGGTATTTGTGAGGGATTTGAGAGTTTGTTTGAGGGTTTAGATTGAGTGATTGTAAACCCTAGTTTTATTCTCTCCCTCTAATAGTAGATCTTTCCCCTCCTTGCCCCGTGGACGTAGGCAATTTATCGAACCACGTAAAATTGGTTGTCTCGCTATTTGTGTGATTTGTAATAGCTTTTAGGTTCCCTCGACGCGCAGTCCTAGAGCTGACGAGAGGAAGAGCTAATATCACACTTTGATGAGATATTAGGCTTCGGATTCTTATTCCCTTTGAGAAACAAGAATTCTTATTGCGACCTAACTCTTATTGTGCTGTCGAAGTGCTGCCGAAATTTCCACTGCGCACAACAAGTGGTATCAGAGCCCAGATTTCAGATCTAGGGTGTTTTGGATTAGGTGGAGGAAGATTCAGTTGGAAGCTTGGTTCTTGGAGTTCTAGGCTTCGGTGGAGATAGGATTTGAAGTTGCCGTTGGAGATCTCGCTTTCCTCGTGTGGTTAGGAGTTCTATTTGGAATCCAATCTAGGGTTCAGTTGGGTAATTTCTTATTCCTTTCAAAGTTTGAATCTTTCTTTGCAATTTGGAGTTAGTTTGCAATGGGAGAAGAATGTGAAAGCAGCAAGTCAATGGCGAGTACAATACAAGTTGGTTTTCATAACACTAAGATTAGTGTGGTGAAGTATGATGGCAAAATCAACTTTGGCTTGTGGATGAGCGACGTACAGGATGCGCTCAATGCTCAGAATTTGGAAGAGACCATCATGGTCCACGAGAGGCCACCTAAATATGAAGAGGCGGTATGGGAGAATATGAATAGGAATGCTTGTGGGGTGATCAGGTCCTGTTTGGAACAGGAGCTGAAATATGATGTGATTGGGGTGACGTCTGCAATGAAGATGTGGAAAATTTTCAACAACAAGTATCTCACGAAGAGTGTTG